ACTGAAATTAAATGGCATTGTGAGATCTACTAATGGCAATTTAGGAAAATGTATTATCAGTCCTTAATTACATTATGAAATGTATTCGCCTTATTTCGTTTAAAGTGTTAAAGGGATGGTAGTTGAATTTTCCCACATGTTAACCAATACGCCACGTTCTCACGAGTTCCCTTGGGTCACAGGGCAGATGTGACTTTCAAAGAAGGCCAGGCATTTCTTCATATCACATTTCGTGCTAGGATTTTCAGAGAAGCAAAGTTCTGTTTGCTGTCCATCTTATGATGGACGAAAGCTCAGTCCCTTTTCACCCGAAACGAGGGAGGCGGTCTCGTGGGCTCCGTCAACCGGAACGTCGTATAAAAGCCAAACAGGATTCATCCTCCTTCTTCTGTTAAGACCGATCTATTAATCTCTTCTACATGCACTTTCATACGAGATGAAAATACCCTTAACAATACCGTTGCAGGGGATTCATCTAGACCCAGTTTCTGTTTGTATTTGCTAAAGCAATCGACTACACTACTTATGTTTCATTTATAAGTAGGTTTTCAAGTCTTACAGAAGGCCATTTAAACATGATGAATGCGTGGAATTTAATAGAAACGTAAGGTTCACTCATTTTAGTGTAGGAATATAAACGGCCTACCGGTAGTCTCAAAAGCCTACTTATAAACGGAACAGTAATATTCTTTTGCCGGAGTGGATGATAAAACATGTCCAAGTGATTGAGTGTGAGTCGACTTTTCATATCGAGTGAACAGTTGCTCGGAAGGGATTTGTGTAGCTGCCTCTCTGAAAACCGAGAAGGATTGCATTTGAGTGGAAGTGGAGGTTAAATTATGCAAAAACGTCCTCTGCTTATCGTCCTTGGACCCCGAGACCTCCGTGCTGAGCCTTTGCCTATCATGTGATTGATATTATTTGACCGAGAAGCCATTCTTAAGAAGTAAATCACATAAAAATGCTTAGTTTAGTACATTAGTGCGGTTCTTTGTAGAGCATGGTTTTTATGTCAAACGATACCTTTCACATGACAGACAACAGTTCAGTAGAGATTCTTCGAGGTTGGACGACTGTGAGCCGAGACCTTTTTCGTACAATCCAAATGCCACTTCCACCCAAAGACAATCCTCTTCAGCTTCAAGTGGGGCCAATTGCCGAATCCCTTCCAACCGACTGTTAATTCACACGAAAAGTAGTCACACAAGATCATTGAGGCAGTCTTCGAAACACACTTTTTCTTCATGCGCCCAAGCGATGTTGGTCAAATGATGCCAATGCTTGCCGGTCGACTTGGCATAACCTCACGAAACGGAGACTCGACGGTGAATGCATGAGCAAAGTTTTCGCTTCTCCAGGCGCAGCGAGTCTGTCGATAGGCCTGGCCAGTGGGTTGGAGACGATTGAGCAGACTGGACTGCAATAGTGCACAAAACAGATCAAGTAAACGAGCCGTACCGGCGCACCGATCAGCAGAATTCTGTAGGCAAGAGGAAGGTGATGAGAAAAGGTGTACCGGCCGGGAGGCTGGGCTGACCAGACGAGGCGGTAATTGGCCGATGCTTGAGGGTTGATGCAAACGCAGTCTTGACGAGGAAAAGGCGCATTTTCACGAATTCACTCAAAAAGTGAATGTGTACAAACCATAAATATGAACTCTGTTTACGTGTACAACAGAAATGACGAGGCCGAGGCAGCAGGGTGGACGCTGTTGGGCATGCATACAGGACGAGTTCATCCATGAATTGTGCACCGGCCCGGAGCTATGCAAGCATGAGCTTTCTCAACTCAACTCAACTCAACTCAATCCTCAAGGGTGCAGTAAACTCGGCCTGTCTCCTGTACCATTAGTGAGCATGCGGATAAGCCCAACCGGTGACACACGACTATGAGGATATGCAGACATACAAACGGACAGACGAAGAATATACATTTACACACACGGACATACACATACGTGCACAAATACCAATGGGCATACCGCTGAACAGACAAGTTGACGATGGAGAGAAGAACGAGAAGCAAGAGTTGGTGAAGCATGAGAGACGGCTCAATTGCGAAGGGTGACTGGTTCGAGTCGAGCAGATTGGATACTTTTAGTGACCGCGGAAGTCTTCATGGGCGAGCCATTAAGTTGGCGGTTTGAGTCGACGGGGCTTGTTCACACGAAACGGCTGAAAAAAACATTCATTTTGGCTGGAACTGTCTAATAATTCAGTTATATGAGTTGTGCTCAACTTATTTCACTTAAGCTGATGAAGGAGTGGTAGCAGAATTTTCCCACAATGATATGAGTTGAGCTGACATTTGCATTGAATTTCACGTAGACTTGCTTTCCCAAAAGTTGTTCTCATCCAAGGTGGATTGGACTGCCGTTTCGACCTCGCATCAACTGGTCTTATCAACACCCTCAGCGGGATTCGAACCGCGACAGGGCAGGATGGGAGCTTAGCACGCTAACCACTCGGCGGGATGAGAACAACTTTTGGGAAAGCAAAACTATGTGAAATTAAAATGGAAACGTCAGCTCAACTCATATCATTGTGGGAAAATTCTACTACCAGTCCTTCATCACCTTA